GAGAGCTTTGAACCCCTCAGAAGTTGAAAATAATCTAAACAACTTCCCAGGATCTCAGCCTTTTTAGATCTGGACTGGGACATAAACAATCTTTTTTGTCTGATCTTTGATTTCTTCTATGACTTTTTTAAGAGCCACCTGTAGGCAACAGTTGCTCAGGTTAGGCTTTTACAAACGTCTTCCTCTGAAGCTAGCAGGTGATCTAAGACCAACTGATTTTGATAGATGGCAATATGCACTTTGATTTGCTATTTGGCTACTAGATAAACAGCTTTGGCAGTTTCATTGGTTATAATTTCTACAATTGCTTCTAATCTGTGGTTTAGCATGTAACTGGGGGTGGCAGGTCCATAATATTGGGTTATATACTCAGGAGGCCATTCAGCTTTTTAATTGTCAGTTTCTAAGGCACATCATTTCCCATGTGTCTCTGTCCCTCTACACCTGGATGCCCAGGTTTTCTGCTCTAGGATCTAGAGAAGTTAGGACCTCTCTAATAAGGGACTTAGACAGCATTTCCTTTCCATCTGGATGAAAACAATTTTTTTGTGTTTGCATCAGGTTATGTCCCTCTCTATTATAGTTATTTCTTTTTCTTTTTTATTTCTTAGTCTTAGATTGATGCAATTCTAAACTTGACTGTCTGCCAACAGACTTTAAAGTAATCTTGAATCAGTACCCCTATCATCAGCAGAAAGCAGAGAGAAGAGTAAGTTAACCCTGTAATTGTAGTGTGAGAATTTATAATTGATAAAAAAGTTTTAAGTATATTAATTAAACAAAAATACCAAGTTAAACTGGAAGCCAAAAATGCATTTGTCAATTAGCTAAGATTTATAACCCAATTCCTCCCTCACCCAGGAGAACTTCCTTCAGGGGAAAGAGGAATTGTGTACCCTTTTTAGTCTTTGGGGAAACACAAGATTCTCAACATGTTTTAGTACCTTTTTAATTTTCTTTTTTTAAAAAAAATAATTAATTAATTAATTTTTAATTTCCTCTTGACCTAGGATAAAGTCAGTCTTTCTTCCCTTGCATGGCTGCACCAGGGATTGGGTCTTCTTTGGCTGGCACCATTTTCTATTGAAGCAATTCCACTGGTTGGGGTATTAGGGATTACATGCTGGGGTTAGAGATTCCAGAGGGCTTCTTGTAGAGGATGAAACTGGAGGTAAATCTTTTTGTTTCTTACCAAGTGTCTGGGTTTTTAGGAGAAAGAGAACAGTTGGTTGTTGTCACCAACACCGGTTGTCATTTATCTCCTCCTGAGACCCCCTATCATTAACAAATTCAACCAACAATTGATATACCCAGTTTTCATCTGATCTGAACTTTGGCAGGAAGGGTGGGGTGAGGATGGAGGTTTTTGGTCAAATGAAATAACATTTTTTCATCCGAGTTTTCTATTTTTTGGTTGTCGGTTGTTGTGTTTTTTCCCCATGGGTTGTCCCAAGTCCTTCACAATAGTTCAAAGGGTGCAAGGGGGCTATTAAAAGGAGTATTTTGTTCCTTGAGCCTGTTTCCTAACCTGTCCTGCAGGGGAGGTGCATTTATTTTCCATTCTGTTTGTTCCAAAAGCCAAGGCTCAATCTCTAGCATACACCAAGTTATCTTAGCTTAAGTTACTTTCAGTTTCACTCAAAACCTTCTCAACCTCACCCAAGGCTGTAGGTCTCATCAGAGACTGTCCTGGGACAGGGACAGGATAACCCACTGCCAAAGCAATACTCAGTCACCTCCACAACTCTCTTACCTTGGTTCATGCATGAAGTTGCCTGATTATAATAATCCTCTTTGTCTCCCTTTGGGCCGTTGGTCAGGTCAGAAACCTTTCCACACACACAGTGACTCCATCCTGTTGCCCAGCACCTAGCACCTTAAGAATTGTGATTTTGTTCCTTGTGGAACTACACAGGCAACTCTGCTGTGGGAGGTGATCAGGCTCTAAGGCATAATGAACCTGAGCTGGTTCCTAGGCTTCAGCAGGTTCTGTTGTACATCTGGAGTCCTCACTCTGGCACCCCAGGAGGGCCTAGAGTCCCTGATGGGTCAAATAGTCCCTTGGTGCCAGGCATGGCTACTTCTCTCTGTGCTCTGTTGTTCAAATCCTGATGACAAAGGAGGTGGGAACACACCATCTCCAAATCCTGGGTGAGCCCCCAATGAAATGGAACATGATTCTCATGCAGAGAGATGGGATACTGAGGCTTGTCTTTTCAGGAAGCAGTTGTGCCAGCACAGGCTCAGTGGGCTAATACCCAAAGGGCTGATCCCCAATCAGGGCAGAATTTTACCTTTTATACAACTGTGTTTTTGTCTTCCTTAAATGGTAGCACACTAACAGCCTAATTGGTACAATCTTAGGTTGAGAGCTGTACTAGAACTGCACATGCGTATCTAGAAGCTAACTGCCATGTTTTCTTTTTTCATTCTGAGAAGACCCTCATTGCATTCCTTTGGGAGGGGTCCTGCCACAGTTGACTTAGATAAATAGACTCTTAGAGAAATTGTTTTAATACTGAAATTATTACAGAGCATACAAATGTCAAATTGTGTTCAAAGAACCTTTGCTCCTTATTTTTCCAAGGTCTTTATCCAAGGCTCCAGAAGCAACTTCAAAATTTATTCTCTCTAGTGATATTTGGACTACTTAATTTACTATCTCTTTTCTACAAAGTCCATTTCAGGTATTTGCCTAACTTAGGTTTTGGTAATGGTAGAGAGATATCTTTATACTAACCAGTGGTTTATTATTCTTTAGTGGTTTGTGGTTAGAAGCTGTTTCTGTAGTTTTTGAGGTCTCCAGGAAAGGATTTTTAAGGTCATTTTAAAATCATTTATATTTGCTTTTGCCTAGTAGGGTCCCTAACAAGTTGATAAAAATGGGTCAGTAGGTTAAAAAGTCCTGATTAAGTGATCATGGTGATGAGGGGAAGATCCATTTTAGGTATATACATATTATAGGGTCTGCACCTTGGGCCAATGAACCAAGCACATGAGCCTAGGAGGAGACCATGGCAGCTACCCCCACCATGTGGGTCAAGAGTATGGCACAGCTATACCCTGGGGTGACCAGGGCTGAGCTAACCAGTAAAATCCCAGAAAACAGGGAGGGTAATGTCCCATACTGCACTCTCCACCCCACACTGGATTGTGGGGTCAATTTGGGGTTCTCTACTTAGCTGCATAAATTCCAAAGTGTTTAAAACTGGAGTGCATTCAAGGTAGAGTGGCCAGTATGGAGAGAAAACACGACACCATGTTTATCTAAGGAAGAGGTGGAGGAACTGGGATGTTTGTTTTAGAGGAGAGAGCACAGAACTGCTGTTTTCACAGATATAAAGGACTGTGTGGAGAAGAGCAGTTAGACTGGAGCCTACTGGAACAGATTTGGGCTGGACACTGAGTCACTTCTCGCTACTTAGATGTGTCCTGAGTGAACTGTTTCAGAGTTGTGTCATTTGGACTCTTGAAGATGATCCTGCCTAGGCACATGGTCATTGTATATGAAGGACCTGAGAAACTTCCTCTCATCTCTAGGATCCTGGTTCTGCTTTTCACCATTTCCATGCTACAGATGTTTCTGGACCTTTGTCTGTGTTCCAAGCACTGTGGCAGTCAGGGAACTCATGACTGGCCCTGGAAAGAATACTGGGTGGAGCAGGGCACAACAGATCTCAGGCTGATGATGGCCCATGGGGCTGTGCAGGAGCTGGCCAGACCAAGGGCAGAGGCCAGGCACTGGCCCACAGTGACAGGAAGTGGTACTGCAGGTAGAGGGAAGAGGGTACAACATTGGGCAGATGCTTCTTAGGTGCTGACAGGAGGTGGTATTGCAGGTAGAGGGAAGAGAGTGCAACACTGGGCAGATGCTCCTTAGGTGCTGACTTGAGCTTTGGGGCTAAGAGTTGTGGCCTAGGGTGGCACATAGGAAGGCTTAAGATGGAGGGTAGCAGCAGTGAGGCCCCTCAGCCTCCTTCTCTGTGAGGCGGAGATTTTTAACTTCCAGTGTAAGGGCTTGGGTGATTCTACAAGATTCTATGAGAATCAGTTCCTTTAATGTCTTCCTTTATAATCCACTGTGTCTGGCCCATGGTACCCTTGGCCTTATAAGCCTTTGGGTGCGAATGGGGTCATACTGGTACTAACACCCCCATTTCACTCACATGTTCTGGAATTCTTGGGCCCTCATGGAGATGTCACCCAATTACCTACGGGGCCCTTGGGATACCTCATGGATATATCAGCTGACCTCTGCACATGTCCTCACTGCTTTCATGAGTATCACCTGCGAGCACTCAGGGGACCCTTCTGTGCCAGGCTTGCTAGTTCCCACATTCTCTGTGACAATGCTGATGGTGCTGAGATCCTGGAACTGCAACCACATGATGCCAAGATGACATGGCACTTCACAGCCACATTGTTCCCAGTACAAATGGGATGTCACTTTTTGTCACTTGATAGTGAAATGGTATTAGATAGAATGGGATTAGATGGGCCCTGCATCTCAGAAAGTCCCTCTTGAAGAAAGCCTTTTGGTTTTGGTCTGTATCCCCACAGCTATGGCACCATAGCTGAGACAGTATGGTTTTCTCTACTGCAAAGAGGTGTCCTTGGTGTCTCTGAGGTGTCCAGGGATCTCCAGTTTAGACCATCTTTCTTGAGAAGAATAAAGGCAGCCCCCTAGGCCATCAAATGAGCTTCACAGAGGCCAATCTGACTGTCACTGCTTGTGCTCTGCCTGACACAGGGCTGGTCGCTGATCATCTCAGTCTCCCCACTCCCTTAGTGGGAGGTCGGGAGGAATCAGTGCCTTGCTGTAGGTGGACATCTGGCAGAGCTGAGTCCCAGGCCAGGGCGTGGAGCATCATACAGACCCCAGGCTTTGTTCCAGCACTTTCCTGTGAGTGATCGCCTGCACAACCTGGCCAGCAGTGCCCACTTGACTTGTTGTCCTCTTTGCAGAGACTCAGCATTGCCTTCCTGCCTTCTGCCTACAGGGCTGGGAGGAGACCGTGGATGCTGCCGTGTCCCACCTATTGAAGACCTGCCTATCCAAGAGTTCCAAGGAGCAGGCTTTGAACCTCAACAGCCACCTGGATGTCCCCAAAGACACAAGCCGGCTGAAGAAACACATCACCCTGCTGTGTGACAGACTGGCCAAAGGTGGCCGTCTCTGCCTCAGTGCTGACGCAGCCACCCCACAGACTATTGTCATGCCAGGTAAGGGTTGTGTCCTGCTCTCTGAGCAAAGCTTCTCTTCCCTAAACTCAAGAGATATCCCTTGGATTGGGGCTTAAATTTCATATTAAGGCCATGATAGCCAAGAAAATTGCATCTGTGTTTCCTGTAGATATGGGATAACCACTTGATAGATATTCTTAGGGTATTAACTTGGTAGCCATTTCTCGGATGGTATGTCCTTGGAAAAAACAATCCCTGTGCTTTTAAGTATATGATCCACTTTGTTTTACTTCTAACCAATAAAAAGTAGATTGGAAAATACTAATGTTTTTAAGGATGTGTACCACATGTGATCTCATCATACCCTATTTCAGGAATATACATAGCATCACACAGACATTAGTGTTCGCCAGTTAGTCAGGGTGCCTCTGCTGTGTGCTTTGACTGGAGTCATCAGAACAGGGGAGAAAATACAGGGGTGGACCCAGGATCAATCAAGATTCAGGGCTGAGGCATCTGTGGGCTAGCTTGCTCAAACTGGGCATCAGTGAGGATGTAAGTATTGGGATCTGCCCTTCTCACCAGGGCTAAACTGCCAGTTGTACAACCTAGGCTCCTTCTAGACAGCAGTTCTGAGTCCCATCTCACCCTTCTTAACCTCACCATAGCAACAGCGAAGAATATGACACAAACGTTAAACGCAGCAGTGGTGGTGCCTGTTTCTCCCATAGCTTAGAGACAGTTCTGACATGCTGGGTTTTGCACAGATCCTCTTCAGCTTGCCTCATAGCATCTCCTGAGCCACCTCTGGCTTTCATGTGTCCATCTCTGTTTACTGGTTCTGAGTATTTCCTAAGGAGTAAATATCAGTGCCTACTGAGATGATGGGTGAAAACACTTCACTTTAACTGGCCCTCAGGAAATGGCTCTCCCTTGCTGCCTGCTACAGGAGAAGCTACAGGGCTAGAACAGGAAAGGACAGCTATATATGAAATAGAATCTGAAAAAAGTGAGGCCGGCCTACCTGGTCAGCATGTACCCTGTCAGGCTGGCAAGAAGAGATTCAGGTTTTCTCTAAAAGGAGCAAACATGAAGATCCCAGGGACACCATGGTGGGCACCCCCACTCCCCCACCCTCTGCCTGTCACACTCACTGATCACAGAGTTCTCATATTTTTCTTTCCAGGGCTAGTTATGTGATGGCCTTGCCTATATCTAGGATACAGTGCACCCTTCCATGAAGGACACTTGAGTGGCTGGGAGGAAGGGGCAGAAGAGAGGGGAGGAGAGCAGGGAGAAAGACAAAAGCAAAAATGAGTCAGAAGTTGTGCTGTTCGCACCTAGTATGTGCCCCATTGTGGCCAGGTAGGGAGACAGAGGCTATGTGTTGGCATGTTGCTATTACAGCCACATTTCTTGCTCTCTTTGCTAGTGACCCACTGGCCACTCTGGGTCCCAGAATTCTCCTCCTTGTTTAGATCATTATAGTTTGCTTTTAAAAGTCATTGCATCAGTGGTGTTTGTCATTAACATGGTCACTCACTGCCTATAATACTTTTCTTCCATAGAACTCAAAAATTTCTTATACTACCTAGATGCAGCACCTTTTGGAGGTAGAAGAAACACTGAGCATTAATTAATACTATTTACAGATAGAGGATGGAGGCAGGAAGGGAGAAATATTTTTTGCCTAGAGTTCTATCGTCACTGGGAGGTTGTTCCTGGAGTTGAGATCACCTCTCTTGCCCTGCTCGCTGCAGACCAAGGACCACAAGGACACAGGCTATGCCCAGCCAGGGTGGCCTGCTGCATAAGCTGTGCCTTGCCTCACCTGCATTCACTTAAACTGGTCAGCGGTACGGGATGAAGAAAACTAAGAAAGAGTTTCACAGTGTCTTAGTTCATTTCTGTGAGGAATACTTATTTGTTTTGTGCTTAATTTTTATTTTCTCCATACGTGGCATAATGCCTTTATAGAGAATAGGAAATACTGTTTTTATTCTGCTTCCAACCAGTAATTGTGCAATTTATAATGTTAATACAGCTATAATTGTTGTGTCACTACACAAATATAAAGTGGCATAATAGATAGCAGATTACTGCACACATACCTTATAGCATTTTCACTAAGTGATCCTTTTTAAAAAATTTTTTAATTTTTTTAATTTTTATTTTTTTCAAATCAAATTGGTGGGACAGTTTCAATAATTAAACACATTGCATACATTCTTCCTAGTGGTTAATTGCTGTACAAGATGCGGATATGATATCTGCCCCCCCCCTTTTTTTTAAGATCTGGCCAAGAAGTTAGAAATCCTCTTGTTCCCCTCCCTCTCTAACAGCTGAGGTAACAAAGGACCAAGAAGGTGAAGTGACTTAAGTGGTTAGTAGTTAAAGGCAGGAGTGTCTGTGATTTTATCATGTCCTCTGTTAACTTGCAGATGGGTGAACATCTTTAAATAAACTCTGTGTAGTTCTTTCTAGCATCCTGGATTCATAAACTGATCCAGTGGCTGAGCTCTTTTATTTTGCTTCACCAAAGGCCAGAGCAACAGCATCCTCTATGGAGGCCAGGTTTGAACTTCATTGCTCCTTGGGGCCCTGTGGCCTCTGTCTTGTGTTCTCCTGCTTTCCCTTTTTATCCATCTGCCTCTACTTAAGCTTTTCTCGATGGATTTGCTCATCACAGAGCCTCAAACAAATTTTTCTTCCCTGTAGCTCTTGCAGTGACATCTTTCTGCAGTGCCCTTTCATATCTGTTTCCCACTACAGCTCCCTGAACTGGATGTCCGCTGCTCACTGAACTCTACTCTTGGAGCCAGAATCACAAAGACCACCTGGATGGTGTTTTTAAGAAATCTGAATGAGAATGACCCTGTGGCTGGCTGGCTTGCAAGTGTGTCACCAGCTTTGTCCTCCCAGGTGTGGCAACTGAGACTCACTTTAGTTTATCAGAAGCTTCCTTGGTGGCCTCAGTGTCCAGGATAGTGTCTCTGGAGTCCTGATCCTGGTGGAGATTTGGCTGTCTTGAATATCCGTACATAATTTACTGCATGTTCAAATAGGTCTAACAGCCTCAAGAATATGAAAGCTTTAATCAGTTCTTTTATCTTAAAAAAAAAAACCAAAACCCAACAACTTCATTCAGTGATGCTTAGCCCTTCAAGATGTGGAGTGGGTGGTAGTCTATCTGTGGTAAATGTGAGCTGAGGGAGCAGCATGGGCCCCACAGTAGACTGGTGGTGCACATGGCCAGGAGAGGGCACTGAGACAGCCCAGGTTTGAGCCTGTGCACAGTGAGCATTTCCCTCGTGTGGTCCCATGAACCAGAAGTTAGGACACCCAGAGCCTCACTTGTGTTCTCTTTGGCACTGCCAGATTTTGGGGCCAAACAAAGTGGAAGGGTGGGGAAAAAAGAAAAGAAAGTTTGTAGATAAGATGAGCCTTTTCGTGGATGTAGATCAAAGTATTTTATTATCTTGAGATGCACCCAGAAATTAGTATTCTGTGCATTTCTATAATAGTCAGTGGGTAGGAACAAATACAGAGTGTAAATCTGAATAAGATATCTAGGTTGTCCTCTTGGGACATGCACTTTAAATTCTCAATTTTTAGTATTTTAAGCTTGTCTTAATGGCTTTTTTGCCTTAAGGATTTCATGTTATATTGAGCCTACTGCCTCAAATGACCCATTTTAACAGATTTTAATTTTTCTAAATCTCACTAAGAAACTTGATACATACCTGGTGTTTATTTTCATATTGTCAATGTAATTTAACTGTTGGTCTTATACTTTGAATTTCTGTAGGTTTAAAGTCTTTCATTAAGGAAATTTAGATGCGTTCAGTATAGGAGAGACTTCAGGAAAATTAATAAATGATTTCTGAACCTGTTTTTCCTACAAAGAAAAAAAAGACTTTGTTTTTTTTTCATAATTTTATTGATAAACAAATAGCAATGAGACAGTTTCAAATCAAATCGCTAGGACAGTTTCAATAATTAACACACTGCATACATTCTTCTTAGTGGTTAATTGCTGTACAAGATGCAGACTTGAGATCCTGT